TGTCCAGGAGGGAGATTTCCAGGTCACTGCAAATACTTTTGCATTTGTCTTTCCTAACACCGGAAGATGAGGTTTTGTGACTACTCCCCTGAGAATGCTCTCCTATTCCCAAATCTCTAGTGAACGCCTTTGTACTGCTAGTCTATAAAATAACTGTACCCTAATAATAATTATAATAATAGGGAGTATTTTAGTTTGGTAATGGGTACTTCTAGAAGAATAATCCCATTAATTGGTTGAGCACTAATTTATACAGTTCTTACAGAACATGTAACTGCTGTAATCAATATGGGATAAAAGCCCTGAAGTATTACAGTAATATAAGCCTTCACAATTCATGTGTGGCCTTAGGAGCATATGCCTACAGCATAACAACTGCCATTTAATATGTACCAGTTATTGTTTACAGACTTTAGTAATGATCACATCCTTTTGTTTATCCCACCAAAGTTCTGGACTGTGTAGTATGTACAAGGCACCAGCCATACTCTGTGGAGAATACAGAAAGTTGTCTAAGACCAGAGCCTGACCTAAAAGCAACTTACAATTCATCAAATTTGACATTGCTTACACCTGCAAAAACTATTTCTAGTTTTAAACCTTGCTTCTCTATAGTGACTTGTGGAGTTTAAGTACAGTGTGTATTTGAGAGTAATGTGAGCTTTCAGAAACATTGAGAGAAATTGAATAACTTCATACTCAGTTGTGACTTGTGCCTGCAATTGTAGCACTTGAGAATCTGAGCCAGAGGATCTTGAATTCAAGGACAACCTGTGCTGCCCAGGGAGCCACATCTCAATAAACAAAAAAAGACAAACAAGCAAAAAGAAAAGGAAAAAACAACCATGACAACAAATTCACAAGCAAAAAAATGGAATACCTGTTAGATTTAATAGTTTTGTTTTTTATAATTTTTATTCTAATTGCTTTTTATTATATTTTGCAAAAGTTCTGGGTTGTGATGTACTGGAAATAACAATAAATTTTTTGAGACTATCTAGTCTCTTTTGAGATTTCTCCTGCTTCTGAGAGCTGGATTATGGCATTGTGGTGGTTTGAATAGGTTATGGCCACCACAGACTCATGTGTTTGAGTGCTTGGACTATAGAGAGTGGTACTATAAGGAGGTGTGGCCTTGTTGGAGTAGGTGTGACCTTATTGGAGGAAGTGAGTCACTGTGAGGGTGGGCTTTGAGGTCTCATATGCTCAAGCTATACCCATTGTGGGACACAGTTCACTTCCTGTTGCTTGAGAATCAAGATATAGAACTCTTGGCTGCCTCTTCAGCACCATGCCTGCCTGGATGCCACCATGTTTCCCACCATACTTCCTGCTGTGAAGATAATGGGCTAAACCTCTGAAACTGTAAGCCAGCCCCAATTAAATATTTTTTCCTTTATAAGAGTTTCCATGTTCATTTTGTCTCTTCACAACAATAGAAACCCTAACTAAGACAGGCACATACCACCATCACACTTAGTTGAAAATGCAATTGTTAAAAACTATACCTTCACTATAGATGGTTGAGAAGCCACTTTTAAAGTTTGTTTTTTTTTAATTAAATTAGAAACAAGCTTCTTTTACATGTCAATCCCAGTTCCCTCTCTCTCCCCTCCTCCCCTGCATCCCACCAATCCCCTATCTCAACCCCTTTCTGCTCCCCAGGGAGGGTGAAGCCTTCTTAATTCAGAAAGTATTGATTTCCTCCCTCCAGTGTTAGTTTCTTCTTCACCCTCTAAGTTTATGTCAGAGGAAACTTAGATATTAAGTTTTAGCTAGAGTGTAAAATAGGAAAAGAAAGCCATTATTGATTAAAAAAAAATTGTCTAAGTAGCCATACAATTCCTCACAAAACTAAGGTAAAGCACTTCCAAGGTTAAAGTGCTTGAAATAAAAATGCAGTTTGAAAACCAAAATCTTTTTTAAAGCAAAGATTTGGTGCCGCCTAAATATATTAGATTTCTATTAGATATATTAAACCAGTTTGATGGGATAAAGCTACATTTTAAAATTATAAATAATTAAGGAAAATTAACATCTGGAAGCATTCTTGCCAGGATACTTATTTGGCTGATCTCACCAAAGTCTAGTAGAAAACACATGTTCCCCTGAGTCAGCCAGGCTGATGGGTCATGACCCTGAACTTCAGCCACCCTGCCTTTGAAATGAGACTGCTTGTGAATGGAAAAGGTCATCCTAGGGGACCACTAGGCCTTTATCCATTTTGCATGCTTGCGAATTTAATGCCATCATCTTTGTTGTTGTTTTGTACTGGGCATTTATTCTAGGTCCTTGTGCATGATGGGCAAGTGCTCTATCTTTAAGCTCTATCCCCAGCCCCCAAATCATCTTAAACTACTGTAGTTTTCGTTTTAAAATATTATTTATATTAGTTTTTGAGAGTGCACTATAATTGCATTATTTCCCTTTTCCTTTTTTTCCCTCTGAGCCCTCACATATAAACCTCCTTGTTTCTCTTTCAAATTCATAGCCTCTTGTTTTTCACTAATTGTTGTTTCTAATATATTCCTAAATGTATAGCTACTGCTTGCTCCATCTGTGTAATATTACTTGTGTGTATGTTTTCAGGGGAGACCATTTGGTATCAGATAACCAATTGGCATGCTTTTCCCTGGGGAAGACCTTTTCTCCCACTCTCATCATTTCTTAGTTGCCTATAGTTCTTTGTGTAGGTCACAGGTTTTCCTCTGATTGCTTTAGCATGTCTTGTGTTGCTCAGCTCAGATTTGGCAGTCAAGTTGGTGAGACTTTATAGGTGTAGTTTCTGACATTCCCAGAAGTCACAATCTCACAGTAACCTTCCTGCCCCAGCTTTTAAGTCTCTTCACCCCCTTTTCTGTAGTGTTCCTCAAGCCTTAGATGCAGGAGCTGTGATGCAGATAGTTTTCATGTTGTAGAAAGTGGATTTTTGGAAACTAAGAACTCCTCCTTTATATACTATATAATTCTTGATGGAGTCCTCTGACATTACCAAGGTGGAAAGAATGGGAGTCATGAAAGAGACAGATATAAATATGAAAATGGAGAATGGCAGAGATAAAGCATGTAACAGAAGTAGAGAAAAAAAAAAAGGTCATGGTACTTCAAGGCATCCTTGATCTGTAAGAGCTGGGTGTGAAAGGTTAGCGTGGTAACATTTGTAGTCACATGAGGAAAATTCTCAGAGAAGAGATGCCCTGCCCTGCACCCCCCCCACCGCTGATAATAAACTTGAACTCTTGAAGTGCAACCCAAATGTCAGTCATGACCACCTTTCCTACAAGGCTGACACAATTATGTAAGTAGCACATGTCCTATCTCTAGTACTCTCTTGGTGGTTTCAAAGAATTCTGGGAGATTTGGATTGTGGATTGCATCTTATCCACTCTAGTTAATGAGTCTGCTTCTGTAAGTTTGTTCTTAGGTAACTTACCACGGGGGCCTTCGACTTTCAGCAGAGCTTCCTCCTTAGAAGACGACTTAGTTATAAACATCTTTCCAGCAAGTAAAGCTTTCAACAGACCTGATAATTTTCAGTTTCTGATAACTTAATCAAGGGTTATTCCAGGGAGTTTTCAAACCTTTTCTGTAAAGGGCTAGATAGCAAATATGTTTACCTTTGAGGTTTCCTGTCACAGCTTCTCAGCTCTGGTGGGTATCATGAAAACAGGTGTGTACACTGTGAAAGCAGATGAATGAGGCTATATCCCCCCACACACACTTGTTTTTTTTGTTTTGGTTTTGTGTGTGTGTGTGTGTGTGTGTGTGTGTGTGTGTGTGTGTGTGTGTGTGTGTGTGTTTTCACATGTTTTTGTGGGTTTGTAAGAATTGTGTTTTTTTTTTAACAAAAACAAGATATAATACTTGTATGATTAAAAATGTGTTAACAATACTGATTGCAGCACAGGTTGGCCTCGAGTTCAAGATCTTCCAGCTTCCTAAACTGCCTTGGGGTTTCTATTGCTGTGAAGAAATACCATGATCATGACAACTCCTTTCTTTTTTTTTTCTTTTTAAAGATTTTATTTTTTTATTATGTATACAACATTCTGCTTCCATGTATATCTGCACACCAGAAGAGGGCACTAGATCTTATAACGGATGGTTGTGAGCCACCATGTGTTTGCTGGGAATTGAACTCAGGACCTCT